TGCCTCAGAGCGCTGCCTGCCTCAGAGCGCTGCCTGCCTCAGAGCGCTGCCTGCCTCAGAGCGCTGCCTGCCTCAGAGCGCTGCCTGCCTCAGAGAGCTGCCTCAGGGGCCCACAGGGCCAACAGGGACTAGCCTAGACCTGTGCGTCTGGGAGCAGCCGGGCGCAGCTTTAAGCCCTCTTTCAGAGTCCCACCCTCGGAGAGTTGCCTGATTGGACCATTTTCAGTCCTAAGTGACTGATTGGGCCACTTAGGGACCAATAAGCTCATCTGCCGCCGAATAATTAACTGAGGAGCTGGTGAACGCCATTGGTTCATTGCGCTCACACCCCATTGGGCCAGTCTATGTGGCGCAAATAAAGAGGGCCGAGCTGCGCGTCAGTGTAGCGACCTTTCCTGGGTTCCGCAGGGCGGCCTGGGTGCTACTCGTAGGCGCGACTTCTAGCCCCGTACCCTCACTGCTTTCCCAAGGGCTCCAGCTGCTTAGCTTCGGGGAAGAGCCTATCTTGGGTGCAGTCCGCACCGTGGGGCCCGGGTTTCGGTTTCAGCTTATGTTATGGAGTACTGTTCTTCAAGAGGTGGCATCGGCCCAAGGGAGACTAGGCATTTCATAGGGTTTGTGAGCTGTGTATGCGTAAATTTAGGTCGATCCCTAGATCTAGATAGAAGAGCTCAAACTTGCCACTCTCGTGCACTTAGAGTAGCCTGAAGACTTTCTTAAGCCATTTGTGTTACTTGCTTGCAGAACTTCCTTCCCAGTGTAAACTATAGAACTGTCTGCTTTAAATGGGATAGGAAATCGGGTCTCTGTGGGTTCTGGAGAGCTTGCTTCTCTCCGCTTTTGTCCTCTATGCTGACACAAGGTAGTTCCTAAACGGTCTGCGACCTAGCTCTGCTTTTATAAGTTGATAAAACGAAAATATAAATAATGATACTGCTTTGTCTTTTCAAGGGAGAAGCAAGGAATATGATGACCAAAAATTCCAACATATTCAAATCTCAAATCTTTTAAACTTAACTTATACGTTCATTTGTGTATAACATTTGAAGATTACCTTCTTCTGAAAGGACTGTTTTTAAACATTAGGTTAAATTTGTGGACCAGTAACTTCATCAGATTAAATTGGGGAATGATAAGTTTGACATTTGAATGTGAGCCATAGTACATGAAATAACTTTTAAAGCAGTTCACTAAAAAGAAGAAAAAGCAGGCCTTTCTTTAAACTTACACCTGCTTTCCTCTTATGTTGATTCTTAGACTGAAGAATCTTTTTGACATTGCCAAAATGGCCACAAATTTTTAAAAGCTGAAAACAATAATAAAATATGTTGTGTTGGATACATTTATCACTTGTATAAACAGATGCTAAATCATATGTATATTGATATATCTCATTAAAAATTTTCATACAATATTGACTTTATTTGTAAAAGGAACTTTCTTATTCCATAGGATCTACCTCAGACCCTGGAAATAGAAACAGATCTGAATTATTTTATACCTTAAATGGGTCTTCTATTGACTCACAGCCACAACCCAAATCAAAAAATACTTGGTACATTGATGAAGGTAATCTGAAATCTTAGTGTTCTTTGTAATAATTCTCTCCTTTTAACTCACCAGAAAGAAATGGCTTATTAACTAATATTTGTAGCTTTGGAAACAGTCTTTTTCTTTATTAATATTCTTGAGTTAAAATATTATATACAGTTTCTATTAGGATTAATAAACATTTAGAAAATGTATTAATGCTTGTTCTGTTCCTTGAGCTGGGTCTGGTTAGGGTAGAAGATCTCTAGAATCAAGGCAAAGGTTTCTGTCTGAGCCTTTCTTGACCTCTTTAAACTACTCTAGTTAAAAGTAAAAAAAAAAAAAAAAAAACCACCTTACCTTGGTTCTGGGACATGATTTCTTCTGGTTTATTCTTTTCTTTGTTCACCCTGAATCATCAAGAGTGATCAGTCCCTGTTTTGTGCCCACAGCTGGCTGGCCTCTGGGTGTGCACAGGGGCCACCCTGGGGGCTGGGGACAGCCTCTCTCTAGCTCTGCCATCATGAGTGCATGGATGGGTGCTTTTCATGGCTGCTGACAGCTTTCTAAGGAGAGGAAGCCAGTACAATGATAGCTTTCATAACCTGGATAATATTGTCAGGGTATGCCCTGTATGTGCTGTATTCCTAATGAACATTTCTGTGTTCTAGAATATCCTGGTCTAATGTTGTATAGTAATTTCATGGAAGAATAGTGATTCTACAAGACCTAGGTTGAGACATATAATGTAATAAAATTCATTCTTAAATTAGAAAATAGAAATAATTGAGTTGTAAAAATACCTTTCTTTCTATGACTAATTTATTTAGACATTTGAAAACCTCTTCTCTACATTTCATTCATTTTGTCCCTTATTTGAAAAGGAAACTGTGTGCTTTCTTATACTGTTGGTACCACTTACTTGAAGTGGCTGTACCAAGCGCTGTGGCTTTGACTGAGACAGATTAAAGTGCTGTCCTCCCGGCGTGTGCACCCCGTGGTGTGCCAGACGGATGCCCAGACGAGACTGTGCAGTGAAGGAATTGGCCATGGGGACAGCAGCACGTGGATGCCAGCTGCCATCGAGTGGTTTGGGAACATCTTTGGGGAGAAGGATATGTTTTATGATCTGGACGATGTGAATAAATCTGCCAGAGAAAGAGCTCGGGAAGGGCATTCCAGGCAGTAGAAAGAGTGAGGGCCAAAGCTCTGAGGTGAGCCACGGGCTGAGAGGTGGGGAGGAGAATAAGAACATGTTTGGGATACCAAGCTTGACATGCTTATGAGACTCCCTCTAGAAAGGTGAAGCGACAATTGGATTAGGTGTGTTTATTCATTTAGAGTATTCTTAAATAAATTTCTCTAATTAAGGATCATTTTTTATAGTTGCTGAGGACCCTGCAAAATCGCTTACAGAACTGTCACCAGACTTCAGGCAAGCTTCACCACCACCGCAGCCTCCTTCCATGAACTCACTGCCCAGTGAGAACAGGTTTCACTCTCTGCCATTCAGTCTGACAAAGCTGCCCAGCAGCAATGGAAGCATTGGCCACAGCCCGCTTTCTCTGTCAGTTCAGTCTGTGATGGGAGAGCTGAACAATGCGCCTGTCCAGGAGAGCCCGCCCCTGCCGGTATCTTCCAGTAACTCCCACGGCCTGGAAGTGGGCTCTCTGGCTGAAGTCAAAGAGAACCCCCCTTTCTACGGGGTGATCCGTTGGATTGGTCAGCCGCCTGGACTGAATGAAGTGCTAGCTGGACTCGAACTGGTAATTGAATTTAACCTACAAGTTGTGACTCTCTCCTCTCAGGGGGTTTGTGCAGATTCCTCCCTTTCTCTTCCACTTGCTGGAATTGTCACACAAGTCTCCTCAGAGAAGTTGCTGGCTGCCTGGTTTCCTTATCGATTAAGCCTCTGATCACTGGCTTCTAATGTTAATTGGTTTGTGTTCAAGGAGTGAGATAGACCTTTAGGCTAATATATTTAGGCTTGTTAAAATGAACAGAATAGAGGAAGAAAAACAAATCTGTTACCAGCCTTTCTCCCCCTTCAACCTCTGTTCTCCCATCAGTTCTAATATTTATATCATTCGCTTTAACACTGACTGCTGTTTTAGAGATCTTTTGAGATTCTTGGAACAGGGAGAGAGTTTCCTTTGGTGATTAGGAAAGTATGTTATTCGGCGTTTCGCAGTCAAGAAAGGAGAATCTGGGACATTTAGCTTTTATCTGAACATATTTCTGTTTGTTTGCATATGGTGCTATTCTGAGGGGTCGTTTACTACTCCTCATCCCTAGTTATAACATTTGTGGAAATGTAAGAAAAATCAGTGAATCGGGGAGGTTTAAGTGACGTTCTGAGAGGAAATACAATGACACCTTTGTGTTGGGCTAAGGAATTTGTTACTAAAGTTTGAGGGAGACTGTAGTACTGACTGGTCAGTCCCACTTTCCTAGTGGCCTCTCAGCAATGCAGATGGAATCCCGAGAAGGGTACACGCGACGCAAGGGTTAGAAAACGTGGTTGCTCGTAGCTGTCTTTGCAAAACAGAACAATGCACATGGAAGCATCTCTTTTCCAGGAAGACGAATGTGCCGGCTGTACGGACGGAACCTTTAGGGGCACCCGGTATTTCACCTGTGCCCTAAAGAAGGCGCTTTTCGTCAAGCTGAAGAGCTGCAGGCCAGACTCGAGGTTCGCGTCGCTGCAGCCCGTCCCCAATCAGATCGAGCGCTGTAACTCTCTAGGTACTTGGGTGTCTCTCACTTACTCACTGACCTGGAATCACGCGTCGTAGGCAATAGCCATTGGCACTGGGTGGCGGTGAAGATGTATGTTCCTGCCAATGTTATCAGGCTTTTCAGTCAGTACATAGTGTCATTTGGCATATCAGAAAGTGACAGTTCTCCTGCAAGGGGACACTGACCAAAGGACTAGGAAGAAAAGGTGTGTGAGACAGAAAAAGTGAACATAGTGGGATTTACTTTCTGTTCCTGTGGGTTATAGATATTTCAGTAGCACAGGAAGTAGAAACTGAAAGGCTTTTGGGGGTACCGACTTCCCTCTTGGTGACTAGGTACACGAATAAGCACGTCTTGCCAAGACTCAGCATTGTAGAAAGCATAGCTGCTGACTGAGTGGAAAGCTCAGATCTCACCATTTCTGCCAGGGGCGATGTTTCAATGCCAGGCCTTGCCAGCTCTGGATGAGAGTGGTGAAGCATGTTGAGGGTTAAGCAGGTCGCAGGAAGAAAACCATTTTATGAACATCGTGTTTCATTGCAGTTGAAGAAGTACTTTGGAGTTTTTGTTTTCTTTTCCAACTTGAAACATATTCAGGCACGTAATAAAATATTTGGAGAGAAATGTTTTACTTGGTAGATGGTCTTCTGCTCATTACTTAACGGTATATTTTTTAAATGATGGGGGAAATGAGGTGGAAATTAGCAGTTGTGTTTTTTCATAAGCCAAGTTATTCAACAATGAGCCCAAATCTATGTTTAACTTTGTTAAGAGGCAAATTTTGCATCAAAATACAAAAATTTATTTTGATATGAAGAAATAAATATGTATGGGAAGCCATATTGTAATAATTGAATTTTTTTCCCTTTTTTTGAGCATTTGGTGGCTACTTAAGTGAAGTAGTTGAAGAAAATACTCCACCAAAAATGGAAAAAGAAGGTCTAGAGATAATGATTGGAAAGAAGAAAGGTATCCAAGGTCATTACAATTCTTGTTACTTAGATTCGACTCTGTTCTGGTAAGTTTAAAACTAATGCGGTAACTGTAGAGGGCTTTGAGGCCAAGGATGGGTGCACCTGTGAAAGAATCTGCTGTTGAATATTGTCTCGTGTGCCTGTATCCAGAAACTTGATATAGAACAGCAGTGCAGGGAATTAGGAGTTAAAAATAATGAGATGAGAAAGAGGTGAATGATAGTGTCACGCATAGATCAAATATTCTGACGGTATCTGGGGAATCATATGACTGAAGAGGATAAGTGCCCGTGTCTTTGTGCACCTATTGAATAACAGAACTTGGTGTGTCTCTTTCACTGGGTGGAAGCAATCACAAATGACTTTATTTTAAAGAATTGTTTTGAGTAGAAGCAGAGTTGCCCTTGTGTGTGTATATATATATATGTGCGTGTGTATACACATATGTGCGCACACATGCACACACGTGTATATGTATATGCATGTGTGTATATTCTAAAGTGGTACAACTTAACAGGGCAAGAAATCTTGCACTCTGAAGATCGGCCCCAGTGTACTGCTAGTTAAATTGAGCGTAACCCGCCAGCTCTGTACAGTCTACATAGAAATTTGGAAGATAATGAAATGTTAAGATTTTTTAATTAGGGGAAAGAATAAATGTAGTGTGCCATCTTTTTGGTTAAAAACTTTTAGTCTCTCAGACGTGTTGACAAAAGCAAGCTTAGCAGACTTGATATAATGTTCTTTTGGTAGCCTGGTGAAAACTCCTATCAACCGGATATTTTCTTATTCTGTCTGATATCGGCAAGTTGCCCTGTTAATCACTCACAGGTGACTTGGAATTTAAAGAAAGTCAGAGCTCAGATACCTGTGTTCGTGAAATACACTGATTTATATGTCACTTATTCTCGAGGCTGCCTTTGTTCATTTTGTATTCTCTTAGAAGTCTGTTTTGTGAAAATAATTCTTACTGCATGATGCCAACAATCTTTTTATCTTGCAGCTTGTTTGCTTTTAGTTCTGTCCTGGACACTGTGTTACTCAGACCTAAAGAAAAGCATGATGTGGAATATTATAGTGAAACTCAAGAGTTACTGAGGACAGAAATTGTTAATCCGCTAAGAATGTAAGTAGGTTGTGTCCTGTTTTGCTGGTTTTTGAAACAGTAATTAATATAAATTTTGCTTTTATTTCATAAGAATCAAGCAAAAATTAGTTATCTTGATGAAGTATCAGCAAAATGTTTCTTTAACCTTGAGGCATTCTTGCACATTGTCCAGCCACCTAAAAAGTCATGCTTAGCCAGACTCTATCCACAGTAAGGAACTGTTGGATGCTCTGTTGTTATCAAAATTCATTGTGTCTTCTCATTCATAACTGGGTTTTAGCTGACTGGTTTTATGTGAAATCTCTGCTTTCTCCATCTCAAGCATCTCAAAGGCAAGAAACCCTGTTTTTATTTTATATTTTTAGTATTCCCAGTGGCTACAGGTGTGATTACTGTGGAAGGTGCTCACTATATGTTGACTATAGAGATTTAGTGAATGAATGGTCAATGTAAAAAAAAAAAAAAATGGATATAAGGGGCCTCCTTGGTGGCCTAGAGGTTAAGTCTCATCGCTAGCACCGTGGCCTGAGTTTGATTCCCAGCCAGGGAGTGACCCACACAGAGCACAGCAGACCCTGCCTCCTGTTTCACCCGCTGCTCCCCTCAGCAGTGTATCTCATTAAATCCACCTGTTCTGCTCCCCACTCTGTCTTTGCGGAATCCTTTCACTCCCTGCACCTCTGGCCTATACCTCAAAATAAATAAATATTTTGTCAAAATGGATATAAAATGAACTAGTTCTCCTTGTCATCTTTTTAACCTCATGATGAGCTCTAAAGTCTCTTCTGAAGCCATTTTTAGAATTAGAATTCTGTCAAGAATTGGGCATAAATCTAGTGAATGTGTCCTCATTCAGATAAAAATTAGGGATGATGTCACATGGTGATGATAAGTGTGACTGCAGATTTTTCAGTTATCAACCTTACCACCCTTCCCAACCCCCTGGTGCTTATTCATTCCTAAATATTAAAGACGCTTCCTCAAAATGTATTTTCTGTTTTAAAATTGAAAGTCCTTTATTAAAGGAAATGATTTAATTTACTAAGCAAATGATATTAAAAAACAATCATCATGAATTTAAGAGATTTTTGTGTGTGTATGTTAGTATATGACAGTTATTTTTAGGCCATAGTAGTACCTGAGATAGTTCTGATTCTAGATTTTCAAGTCTCAAGAAATCTATACTTGTATTTTTCAAAATAATTGTCTAGAATGTTGATTTAAGAGTGGATTTCTATAAACAATGTGTAATTATCAAAATGTGTCATCTTAATTCAACATGTAGCCAGTATTAATTGTTTTTTACTAACATAGATATGGATATGTGTGTGCAACAAAGATTATGAAACTGAGGAAAATACTTGAAAAAGTTGAGGCTGCATCAGGATTTACCTCTGAAGAAAAAGGTGACTGTCTTAATTTACGGTCCATGTTCTAAAGCCACTTTGAAAGCACATGCTAGTCATTGACTGAAATGGACATCCCTGTCCTCTGAGGGACTTCCTTTTAAATTAGACATTTCTTGTAAGCGTGAACACATTGCTCTTTGTAAATACCTTCTTCCTTTCTTCTAAATCCCCTCATGGAGGTGGCTGAAGCAGCACATTAACTGACTATATAAAAAAATTCTCCCCTTTCCACCAAGCACTGGTATTTGAAATTGTTCCCTTCAGTGATGAAGGGTTGCAGAAAGTCACCCACATTCTTTCCCATAACTTTTCCTGTTATAAAGGAAGTTAAAAGATGGTGGACTAGGGCCATGTCTGTGGGTCGAGAAGTTGTTTAAATCTCCTCATAGCTAATGGATGTACTCTGAGACTCAGACCTGACTTTGACAATGTCAGAACCATCTTGTAACCAGTGTGATGTTTTGAGGCTTGATGATTGTTTAGCAGAAAAATTGTCAAAGTCATACTACAGGTTTTATTCCACTTACCTTAAGTCCCCTGAGAGAAATTAAAATTGTGCCACAATATTTGAGTGATTATACCTTACCAAATGCAATGAAGTAGCAAAGTTGTGACATAACTTTAAATATCTTTTGTATTTTTGTTAGAGAAAACTTGAGCACTTTTAAGTGAAATAATATTATTATGAGATCAAATTCAGTATAGAAATTTGACTGTTATTAGTAATAAGGAGAATGATTTAAAAATTTTGTCTGCGACTTACTTGAATTTTAATTTTCTTCTAGATCCTGAGGAATTCTTAAATATCCTGTTTCATCATATTTTAAGGGTAGAGCCATTGCTAAAAATAAGGTAACTTTTAAATTGTTGCAGAAACATTGGAAAAATAGCCCTCATTTCATGACCGTCATTCAGTAAAAGTTATTTTGTGGTGATTACTCAATTTTGTATTTGTGTAGGGATTGTAGTATATTAGGTTCCTATAGTGCAAATTGTAGTTGCTCTCCATAGTGTCATATTCAACTTGAAGAATGAATCCAATGTAAATTTGTGCTTTTACTTTTAATCCTGGTAATAAATACTATTGCAAATAATTTTTAACAAGATGGTACATAAATAGTTCTGGAATTTAAATGAACAAATCCTTTAAGAGAATCTTATACTCTAATCAAATCAAACACCATGAAAACACTGTTTTTGTTTACCCACCACTCAAAAAAATTCATTTAGTCTTAAATTAGCTTTTTTGTTCCCACCTCTGTAACCCAGTCCCTGCCCCTCTTGATCCTGGCTCGAGTGGATGCTCCTTGCATTGAATGCAGTTAAGTTCTTAGCAAGGTTTTCTGGTTGGTTGTATTTTCCAAATAGTTTTGAATGTTCATAGTCTGCATGCTGAAGGTTTTGTACTTTAACCTGGGCCTCTCTGTTGAAAATCTCTCCCTTTCTCTCTCCTTTTTTTGGATCATATTACGTTGTGTGAAACACTGTACATGACTCAGAGGCATAGAAACACAGGTCCTCAGATGCCTGTCACTTGCCCCACAGCCACACCAGGGCACCCACAGTCTGCCACCATAGTCCATGTTCCCCACCCCTGTGCTGAGAATCTTGCTGGTATAGTATTCATTTCCCTAAAAGCCAGTCAGCAGACACATGGCTTTCCTCATCTCTGTCTTAGTGCTGTTGTTTGATGCCACCGTAGTATTGATGGATGAGGAGGGGAGACGTGTAGACAGGATAACAATACTCCTTGTTCTCTTTTCAAAGATGTCACAGCCATAAGTATCCCTAGAAAATCTTAGAGAAGTTGTTTAGAAGCTGTTAGAATTAACAACCGAATTTGCAATTTGGCCATGTAGAAAATAACCATAGAGAAGTCAGTAGAATTAGTAGAATTTCTTGTATACCATCTAGCAGATATGAAAAGGATAATCTCATACTTCATGAAAGTATAAAATGCCAAGAAATCGATTTATTGAACTTGGTTTTTTAAAAGACTTGTGTAAGACTAAGCGATGGCTTGATTAATTCCTGCAAAAGAATGCATTCCAGGTGGGAAGATTAAATAACTTAAACATTATCTTATATAAAATAATCTGTACCTAACCAAGATCTTGATTTTGTTTGTTTGTTTGTTTTTGGAACTCAGTGATTTTAGTGTTCTCTACAAGATGAAATGGGTGAAAGATTGCATTTTTTAAGAGTTCTATTATAAGCTATAAAGGTAAAGCAATAGACATTAAGCAGCGGTGCTAGTATAAAATTAGAGCTCTGGAGCCACAGAACCGAACAAAGTTCAAAAACAGAATTAGCTACATGTAACACTGCAGGGTCTTGTAACTCAGCCTGTAACACAGGGAGGAAAGGTGATGCTAAAATACGTGCTGTGGGAGCTGGAGCAGCGGCTGGGGAGAAGAAAGTCGCTTTTGTTTTTCATCTGGAAAAACCCAGGTGGGAGCCTGGCTCTCAGCCTCACTGTGCTTTTGCTTTTGACTGGCTGGGGAGTGAGTGTCTCCCAACTTCAGGGCTTTCCTTTTAGAAACAAGTTTGTTCTGGAAGATCTTGAAGAATCTGTGGCAGTCAAGTATATAAAATTTTATTGCCCTGTCTTAAGCATTAACTGTAGTTTGGTGCTTTCTAGATTTGGTGAAGCTGAACCAAGTAACTTTACCTTCTGATTAATACTGCCCACACAGTACTACTTAACTACAGGTGTTGTTATTCCATTATTTTTTTTTTTCCTGATCATGAAGGGAATTGTTCAATATGAAAGCTAAAACAAGAAACCATTTTTAAGGTCTTAGTCACAGGTACATTATTTAATCTAAATTATTATTCTCTGTTGTTCTGAATATCCAAAGTAGCTCCCTTAATTTCTGTTCTTAAATACGACTAGAACAGCCTCACTTTTTGATTTAAACATTTCATAAATAAATTATGTGCATTTTTGTGTGTTTTTAGGTCAGCAGGTCAAAAAGTACAAGATTGTTACTTCTATCAAATTTTTATGGAAAAAAATGAGAAAGTTGGAGTTCCTACCATTCAGCAGTTATTAGAGTGGTCTTTTATCAACAGTAACCTGAAATTTGCTGAGGTTAGTGATAATTATTTATTGTATTTTATGTGAAAGCCCTTAGGATTCTTTAAACTATTCGTAGATTCAAAAGCTATTACTTTTAACCCACTGAGAATAGTTAGCAACACAAAGTGTTAGCAAAATACAAATTAAAAAAATTTCAACTTTGTCCTTGTAGAGAAAACCTAATAGTAGAGATGGAGGTTTTCAGGTTTCGGTGCCAAAGAAAATACCAGGCTAAAATTTAACTTGAAAGCATTTACTTAAAACCAGTGAAGATTTACGATTTTTTAAACGTGTTAAAATGTAACAAATATTAATTTAACTTAGGTTAAAGTATGTTTGTCATTTTACCCAAGCATATTATCCAAACAGATCACAAAGGAAATGTTCACTTTTCTTCTTTCGGTAATTTACTTAGTTGGTTTATTAGTGAATAAGCGATAAAATTGTATTTCTTTTAGTCTTGACTTTCATGATCTTAACATGTGGCTTAGTTTTATTGTATTTTTTTTTCTGAAGGAATGTTTTAGTAAAACTTTATTAGCTGCAATTGTTTATTTGTTGAAGCATAAGGAATACTTGTCAGTGATCACAATTCCTTCACCATAGTTGCAAAAATAATTTTCCAGAGTAAATAAGCAAATGTCTTAAGTATAAACTCAGCATGGGCTGTCACTCTAGATATTCACCACATTGTTGAGATGAGGATGCCCGGCCCATGGCCTGGTGTGTCCCTGTCCATGGCCTGGTGTGTCCCGGCCTGGTGTGTCCCTGCCCGGGACCCGGGGTGTCCCTGCCCGTGGCCTGCTGTGTCCTGCCCGTGGCCTGGTGTATCTCTCTCCCCATGGCCCTATGGCCCGGTGTGTCCCTTCCCCTGCCCTCGTGTGCCCTGGCCTCTGCCCTGGTGTGTCTGTGCTGTGGCCTGGTGTGAAGACCGGTGGACACCGGGGCCCTGCCTTAATGTTCTGCCTCCACCTCCAGGTTCAGTTTGACAGGCCTCAGCGTGGTGGAGAAATCACAGTTTGGTGCATAGGGACATTTTCAATTTCATAGGGACATTTTTTTTTGGCACTTTGATTCTAAAAATATGTATCTTTTCTGTAGGCACCATCGTGTCTGATTATTCAGATGCCTCGATTTGGAAAAGACTTTAAACTTTTTAAAAAAATTTTTCCTTCTCTGGAACTAAATATAACAGATTTACTTGAAGACAGTAAGTATAAGATATTATCATTTGTTCTAATTTCAGAAATAGTCTGTCAGGTCATTCTCATTCATTGTGATTAAAAAGTCAGAAGGAATACAATTCTTCTGGAAGGTAATTTGGTATCAAAGAGTAGACAGCCAGTAATTTCAGCACTAGGAATTTATTCTTTGAAAGTGTTCAGACATATATAATTTCATATGCAGATATGTCTAATGTAATATAAGTAAGAAGTTAGATACTATGCTTTCTCAAGAAGAGAGTAATTAAATGAATTGTGGTGTGTTTGTGTAGCCACAGTACTGCCATTAGGATTCATGTTTAAAGGCCTATGTGTACGAAAGAGGCCGTGATATAATGTTAAGTGAAAAAGTAAGTTATTGCTTTCTACAAGAGGAACTTACAGTGTTATGTGAATATGCTGATGTAAAGTTAATTTTTAAAATCAGATAATCCAATTTAGCAGGTGATCTCCTGTTAGCTGAAATCGTGGATGCTCTCAGTTTGCTTTCTACTTTCCTTAACTTTTGAAATTTTATCAGTACATACGTTGTAATTAGGTAAAAGTCCCCTAGACTATTATTTTGAAAAAAACTGTCATTCAGAGAAAATGTCTTTAGCAATATCCTGAATTCATGGAGGGACTTTGTGTTTATGAGTATTACTCCTTTGTTTCTGGTCTTAATAATACTTTTTTATATAAGGCGGTGTTCATTATAACATATAAGTTTCAATATCTATCACTGGGAATCGTGTATCTGCTACATTAAGTTCACCACTGCAAGTCCAATTCTAGCATTGTCCTTCTTAAAGCTTAACTTAAAAGATCTTTTTAATGAAAGAATGTATTTTTAAAGACCTGTGAACTCTGCTCCCTTCTCCCACATAGCCCCGAGGCAGTGCCGGATATGTGGAGGGCTGGCCATGTATGAGTGCAGAGAGTGCTATGATGACCCAGACATCTCGGCCGGGAAAATCAAACAGTTCTGTAAAACCTGCAACACACAAGTAAGTCTGGGTTCGCTTAATGGGTGTGCTCTGGAGAAACAGTAAATTCTTTGTAGTTAGAAATCGATTTCAGGTTTCCAAAAGTTAAAAATTCATAATTAAAATACCATATGATCCAACACATCCACTGTTGGGGATCTGTCCAAAGAACACGAAACCATTAATTCAAAAAATAGGGTGCCACCTCAGGTATATTGCAGCATGACTTAGAATAGCCAGCATGCACGCAGCCTGCATGCCCACTGAGAGGACTGGACATGCAGAAGCTGCGGCTGACCCATGCAGCAGAATGAAGGCTCACAGCAGAACGGAAGGAGTTTAAGACAACTGTGTGGAGCAAAGTCAGTCAGAAAGATAGACACGTAGGTGGGTTCACATACATGAGTAAAATAAGGAATCAAAACAGGCGAAATAGCAAGGCAAAATAATGAAAAGCCAACAGATATTGATAACCAAACTGAGGTCTCTGAGATTCCAAAGAAGGGCTCAGAGGGAAGGAGGTTCTGGGAAAATAAGTAACGATTCGTAATTAAAGTAACTTTTGTATAATTAAGTGGTGTTATTTATACCTCTTCTGAGTTTATTTGATGGACTTCTGTGAAGAACTTGCTTGCTGCTTGTAGGGATGCGTTCAGTCAGAGTAAATAGTCCTTTCACCAGAAACCTTGAGTTTGGCTCCTTCATGCTGCTCTCTTCTTGTTGCATTTTAGGTCCACCTTCATCCCAAGAGGTTAAATCACAAATATAACCCGGTGTCGCTTCCCAAAGACTTGCCTGACTGGGACTGGCGGCACGGCTGCATCCCCTGCCAGAAGATGGAGCTGTTTGCCGTCCTCTGCATAGAGACGAGCCACTACGTGGCTTTTGTGAAGTATGGGAAAGATGACTCCGCCTGGCTCTTCTTTGACAGCATGGCTGATCGGGATGGTACTGTGTTTACTCTGTCCTGTTTTTGTTCATGTTTACACAGCTGTGTAACCTTGGGGGACACTACCATACCTCCATACGTGCACATGCTCCACCTCCTTCACCAAACGCCCGTGCCAGTGCCCTGTCTTCCTCCTTTGCCTGTGTGCCTCCAGCCCTCCTGGCCCATGTGACCACCAGTGTATTGTTCATGGAGTCTGAGGATTGTTTTTGCTGTGCTTTGCCATTATATGAGTTTGGGGTTGTTTATATTCCACAGTAAGTGAGACCATCCAATAATCTGTCTTTCACTTCCTGACTTAGTTCACTTAGCACCATCACCTTAGGCTTCATTGTTTTATCCTAAAAGGACACTTGTTCATCTTTTAAACAGCTGCATAGTATTCCATGGAGTTTACATTCCGCGACTCTCGCTGGGCTCTGAGGCTGGTTCCATGACTTGGCTGGGGTGGGCACTGCTGTGAACACTGGCTTGTGTGCACCATTCCACAGTAAAGCTTTCCTGTTCTTTGGGTGGATACCCAACTGAGGTGTTGCTGGGTCAGGTGGGATTCCACTTTTATTTTTTTTAGGGTATCTTCTTGCTGTTTCTACAGAGGCTAAATCAAATTGCAGTCCACGAACAGGAGATGTGCGTTCCTCTTTTCTCCACACCCTCGCCAACATTTGATATTTCTATTCCTTTTGATACAGGGTTTCCTCACAAGGCTGATTGTGATTTTGAGTTTTACTTCCCTTCTAATAATTGTTAGTGCCTGTGGCCATCTGATTGTCTTCTTTAGGAAGTGCCTTCTTAGGTTTTTGCCTGTTTTTTGATTGAGTTGTCTATTTTTTTTTTTTTTTGGATTGTGCATGCACTTAGGTGTTTGGGAAATCAGCCCTCATCAGACTTGTGATTTGGACGGTTCATCTTTGATAAAGGTGCCATTACCATAGAATGGAGAAGGGAAAGCCCTTTTAGTAAATGGTGCTGGGACCATGGAGAGCCACATGCCACAAAAGGGAATTAGACCCACACTTACTTCTGTGGACAGAAATCAATTCAAAATGGGTAAAAGACTTGGACATACGAAGCCATAAAGCACTTGAAAGAAAACACAGAGATGCACTTGGACATCACTTCAATGATGTCCTGTGGGTCGTAACCCCTTTGGCCAGGGGAACAAAACAGAAAAGTAGGATGACATCAGACTAAAAAGCTATTTTTTAGAATAGAAGAACTGGGGTGTAGGCCAGAGGTGCAGGGGTTGACAGGCTTCACCAGAGACAGAGTGGGGATCTGAACAGGGAGAAATACTGAAATACACTGCTGAGGGGAGCAGCGGGGAGACAGGCGAGGTCTGCTGCACCCTGTGGGTCACTCCCTGGCCAGGGAGTGAACTCAGGCCACAGTGGTGATAGCACTGGAACTTAATCCCTAAGCCACCAGGGAGGCCCTAGGCATTTGTACCTAGGAGGAAATGATCACAAAAATAAAAGCGCAACCTACAGATTGGGATGGTATTTTGAAAACTTTTCTTCAACTTTTGCATGGAGTGGAACTGCCCACTTTGTAGTCTAGTCAAGGCTGAGTCCTTGAGTTCTGTGACTTCACCCCCAACCCCACACCCTGCTCTGCCCCTGGGCAATAGTCTGTTCTGAGTAAGAAGAAATTCTGTGAGAAAAGCCTTTCGGGAATTGCTCGGTGACAGGCTGATGTCTTGAAATTTATTTAAACTCCACTACTAAACTAAGGAATAACATGGTGATCTTTTGACATGAGCATGTTCTTTGTTAACAAAAAACAATCCGCAAATTCTTATTTTAAGGCTGGAGGTTTTACTTTCAGCTTTGTCTGATTTCAGGCTCATTTTCTCAACAGGCCCTAACGGCCACATCATAAGTGCCTGCTCCACCCTCCTTAAAGTCCATTAAGGCTTTGTGCCTACTTCTCGAGATGGGCAGGATCCTTATTTCTCTGTTATTAAAGCTGAGGTTTAAGGTCACGTAGCTTGTATTTAACTCAGATTTTCTGACTTCAGTGATCAAGAGTTTTTAGATTCTGCCGTGTTGTGGTCCTAAGGAAAAGACTAAGAGGAGAAGTAAGTGTCTTCTTTGGAAAAACAAGCCTATTCTGAGTGTGACGTGCATCTTCCTGGGGTGAAAACGTGCTGCGCCCTCCAGGCCTTTCTCTAGACCCGACTCATTCCCAGCCGCACATGCTGTGCCGGGGTGATGTGCTGGGACTCTGTGGGTCCGGGTCCAAGTGGTCTTGCCGGTGCCGCTTGCAGCTCAGGGTCAATCTGGGCAAGGCTGTGAGGGACTGCCCGCCCCTCCACCCATCTCCTCATGTCCCTTTTCGCCTCTCCCTCGCGCCCTCCCATAACCTGTATGGGTCTGTGTGGCAAATTCCTGACTAGAGACCAAGCTCTGGACCAGAAAGGTCTCCCCTTTCCTGGGCGCTCAGACTCTCCGGGGTGCTACAGGGCCCAGTCTGTCAGCGTGTCTCTACTTCACCTCACGTTTGTGCTTAACAGTAAAATGCAAGCACTGAGGGTTTCAGATGCTTAGAGAAGCCGGAAGGCCCTTTCTGGAATCCCTGAACGCACACCTTACTGTATCTTCATTCAGTGTCAAGACAGGTAAAACCTTCAACAACTGCGCAAGTTTTTGTATTCACTTCACTGCATCTGCTCTAAATGCCAGTGGTGCGGTGTCCGGGGGGATGTGGGAGTGGGAAGCGAGCGTACTGTGCACCAGGTGGGTAATTGCCTCACCCTGAGCTGCAGACAAAGGCGCCTGGAAAGCAGCTCGTGGTTTTTGCTCAGCATTGTGTCCTTGACTGATTTTATTCACTTTCGGCTACAGCATCCTTCAGAAACTATGAAATGAGAAAAATGTTCCTACTTAAAAGGAGGCTTTAACTTGTAGAAACGAGGAATAAAAAATGGCCTTTCAGAGCTGGAAAGTCACTAAAAATCACAGGGTGGTAAAAGACTTGGAGGGCGGGGCTCACCTGGGCACTCCCTGACAGAAGCCTCTCCCTGTCCACAGGTGGCCAGAATGGCTTCAACATTCCTCAAGTTACCCCGTGCCCGGAAGTAGGCGAGTACTTGAAGATGTCCCTGGAAGACCTGCACTCCTTGGACTCCAGGAGGATCCAGAGCTGTGCACGGAGGCTCCTCTGTGACGCGTACATGTGCATGTACCAGAGTCCGACCATGAGCCTGTACAAGTAAACGGGCCGCCTGGTGCAGGAGCAGAGACTGGGCGCAGGCGTTAGCGTTGCATTTCCCCAAGCTGGCGGTTTTGTTTCCACGTCCATTGCCGGCAATGGATGTCTCTGTGGTGATGATCCTTCGGAAAAGGATTCCTGTGTTTAAAAAACAAATTTGCTTTTGTGTTACTGAAGTATTTAATAAGAAGCATTTTGCACTCTAGAAAGTATGTTTGTGTTGGTTTTTTTAAAAAGTCTAAATGAAGTTATTAATACCTGAAGCTTTAAGTCAAGTGCATTGATCATATATTTTTGGAAGCATAAAATTTTAATTGTGACAGTGTAAAGCCTTTCTGAGTTCACTGAGGATGTAAATAAATGTGTCTTCTTTATGGACCAAGAATATGAAATCATTTTTCCTTTGTAGCTGACAGTTGCCTTGAGGAAGGAATATTTTGGTTTCCTGAGCGTCTACTTTCAACCCAGTTACTAAAGTTGCTGTGAGTTTGGTTTCTTAATCCTGTGTAGCCTTGATTCCTGCATGTCTCTACCTGGCTTCCCGTGTTTCTGCAGTAGCAGTCAGAGAAGTAGTTCAGCCCCCTGAGAGGTGTTGTTCTCTATTGGTTCTGGCTTTGAGATAACTGAGTGACTTTTGTCATAAAATGTCCATTTTGGATGTAATTTTTCTGGGGGGTTATGTATCCCGCAACTGAAGGTCTTCAACTCGCAGTGGTAACTATCAGCAAACAGGTTTTATAAGGCTCCTATTTTCTGCAGTGGGGCGCAATCAGTTTTATAAAAGTATTGGGGTGATAAACATAAATCATTCCTACACAAAAATATAATCTGTAAGAAAATAAATCTGACTTGTAGAGTCACTCAGTAATGTTTCCCAGAGAGAGACACGGCTCTCTAGCCCTGACGTAAGTTTGACCAGTCAGTCAACACACTGAATTCAGTTTAGTTTCACTTGTGAAAGTGACAGTTGCAAATCAGATTTTTTTATTGACATGTTAGCAGCAGCTTTCTCCTCCTCCTGATTCCCTGATTAAAGAACTAGAAAATGGATGTTTTCTTAGCTAGTAGCCTAACGTGTGTCTAGAGCGCAGTACCGTTGTAGACTAGCCCTGTAGGTTATTAATGTGCTGTGGGTTGTGTGTTCCGAGTGTTGTTTTCTGGTAGTGATGTCTTTCTGGAAGTCATTGTTAACCATGCGGAAGTCAGAAAGCGGTCATATGCGCACGACATATGACTTCACAGAGGAGTGAATGACAACCGAACTGCCGAGGGTCTTCATAAAGCCTGCAATGTTTTTGTTTTTTTTTTGGCTAGGCTCATTTACCCTTCGACTTTATCGTTCCATCTTCATAGTATTTACTAGCTTCATAAATCGTATAATAAGCTACAGGAACCCCTTCATCGTCTAATTTTTTTCATTCTTGAAATGAAAAATATGTGCATTTTCCATGAGATTCTCCTAGCTGCTTGGGTGGGGTGCTGAGATGGGTTGGGAGCCAGAGTTGTGGGCTGAGGACTGACCTCACCTCTAGTCTCTTGAGCACTTGGGAAGGACAGGATGGAGTCAGGATGTCTGAGGTCTCCTTGCTGACCATCCCCAAGTCCAGTCTATCTAGGAAGGACTGCATTTTAAAAGACAACTGGAGTTACAAAGAAAAGAGACGTCAGTTCCTTTTCTTTGAGCATTAAAGCAAAATGCAAGTTGAGGAAGGGCTGTTCACACCAGCTCCCCACCTGTCTGCAGGGATCCCCTGCCTCACGGCAGAGACTCACCGGGACAGCCCGCCTCACCCATGAGTTATTTCTAAGGAACTTTTCCCTGAGTAGAACTTCACCTCCTTCTAGTGTTATCTGCAGGGGGCTGTAGGGACCAGCTGTGGTGGTGCAGTGCAGGCGTGGCCTTTCCCGAGGCCCTGGGTGGCCCATAGGGGGCCTCCTGCTTGTTCCCTGGGAGCCCGTGGGCACCCTGGGTTTATGCCAGGGGTGGCCTCTGTGCCTATAGATTTACTTAAAATTTACACCTCAATTTTCTTTCACATGTTCTTGTTGGTACCTTGAACGCTTTGGTTCTCTTTTCCCTGTTTATTACCTACAGTCAAGATGACAGTATAGTAGGATCATATTTATAATGTGACTCATGACTCAGAGCTGCAAACAGAAAATAAAATCCGTCGTGATCCCCAAAGTGTGTGTGCACGCGTGGGGCTGTTTGTGTGTCTGTGTGTATGTGTTTGTGTGGGGAGGGAGGAGAGCAACCGTGCCAGCAATGTGTTCCATCCTTCCCTGTGGGTTTTATAAAGGAGTTTTATTCCACCCACAAAAGAATGTGTGTAAGGCCAGGAGAACACGCTGAAACAAAAAGGAAACCCAGGCAAGGATGGGCCTTCAAGCCCCTAACGATTATCTCCTCAGAACCATTGAGTTTTTAGAGCTCAGATGTGCCCGCTGTTGGAGGCGACTGGCTTCCTGCCGTCCCTCGGCTGCGTTTAGACTTTCACGGCATCCGCACACCCGGGAGCCAGGGCGTCTGCCCTGGAGCCATGGAGCCATGGGCCTATGTTGCCGCCCCCTTCAGGCCTGCCAGCGCCTAGTTAGTTCCTTTCGGCGGGTCTTGGGTCCAGCTGGATGGTCCTGGTCTGCCTGGAGGATCGTGGACAGGCGTGAGCAGGGACACAGGCGTGGCGGAATGGCTGCCGACCAACATGTACCTAGTGGGCATTATTCCCAGGATTGTGCCAGGAGAAAGACTTCCTGGTTCTGTCTCCCACAACTTACCTCCTGCACCTAGCAACAGACCAGCCATGCACCTGGCTGCGGCCCTTTCTCTGTCACCTGCTCCGTTAGCCTTCGTGACAGCCTGGCTGTGGGGGCCTTAGCTTTCTGCTCTGTCGTGAGGGGGCTGGGATGTCACATTTGAGACCACATTTGCTGAGTCTGCCTTTTCCTGAAAGGGAGGAATTTATTAGGGAAAAGCTCAGCCAGGTGAACCCGACGGTCAGTTGCATTGAAGACCACTCAGCATAGCCTTTCCCTCTATGCCGCGGGATGATACCATGTAACGTGTGAATGACCCACCATAAGCGTGGGGTTGAGGTGGTCCTAGATCGGGCGTGTGGATCTGTAGCAGAAAGGCCGTTCTCAGGCCCACCTCCCCCTGCTGTTTCCCGGGGCTCTAGGCTGTGTTTAGAACGCACTTTAATCTTGAGAGGATGAGTGATGTTCTATACCTGTACAATTTCCTTCCATTTTATTTTCTAGGGGATTAAAAGGTAGAAAAATACAATGATCAGAAAAATTAAAGCTTGTATTGTTTTCCACTATATACTCCTATGTGATAAAAGATACTAAATTATGTGAAGCTTCTTCAGCCAATAGAACTTCTCATAAAGGAAAGGTCCTTGTTAAAATAGATGGAAACTATGGTGAGAAGGAGAGGGGAGGAGGAGGAGAGAAGGCAACCCCCTGTAAAGCTGCTGTGTACCCGGGGGGCCCCGAAGGTGGGCTCCTGTGTGCCTGGGACGGGGCCCGTCAGCGGCCGGGGTTCTAGAGAGGCTTTCTGCAGCGGCACCTAGGCCTTATCTGTCCTCTTTTGGACATATCATTGCTGGGGAAGGGAGAGAGAAAAAGACTCATTTGAAATTCTAGAGCAGATGAGGGACCTCTCCTGAATTAGCAAGAGCAGCAAAAAGCTGGCCAGCAAACACAGCCGAGGATGATGGACAAGTGGGAAGGCAGGCAGCCCTTCGCCCCAATGCCCCCTCATGAACGCCAGGGCTTCAGCAGAGTGCCCAGGCCCCACAGGGGTTCCCCTCTCCCAGGGGGATGCCTCGTTGGTTCTACCATAGACTTTATGTCTTCGGAGAGCCTGGGGGAAGGGCCAGGACGGAGGGGTTGTCCTTTGAGCATCCCAACTTCTGAGATGATTCATTGCACCTTCACTGTTCATTTTTTTCTAGAGAGATCATGTGGGAAAGAGAACTGCCTCTGGTTTTGTTTTCTAATGTGGCTTGTCGTGCTGCGGGCCTTCAACTCCAGAAAGTCATAGCTGCTTCTCATAAACATTGCTTTTTAAAATGTCGTTAGGATTTTCCTAGGGAAGCAGCAGTTAGCAGTCAGCTGGTGTCAAGGAGTGAGTTTTGTGCTGTGTCTCCCACACCTGGTATCCTGTACAACATTTATGTATTTATTTTTTGCCTGAAGAACATCCTATATTTGTGGAGACTCTTTAAAAGTAACACCACATAAAATATCCCTTTACTATCAGATTGCTCTGATTTAGCCTTAATTTTGTTAAATTTTTTAGAGATGAACGAAGTGCTGCTGTGGAAAGAAATGTACTATATACTATTTCTGTATCATTAAAATTAAATTTTTATGGTTCCTTCTCTTTGATTTCTTTGGGAGTGGGTTGGGCTCTGGGGAAGTTGGAATTGAGTTCAACTCTTTTGAATTTATTTATTTAGTAAAAGAAATGGGGTATAGACCAGAGGTGTGGGGGTGAGAGGATTCACCAGAGACAGGGTGGGGAGCAGATTCATTGAAATCCTCTGCTGAGGGGAGCAGTGGGGAGACAGGAGAGGTCTGCTGTGCCCTGTGGGTCACTCCCTGACCTGGGATCAACTCAGTCCTCAGCAGTGATGGCGCCGAGACTTAATCCCTGGGCCACCAGGGGACCCTTGAATTCAACTTATTTGGTTGCAGTGGTGCCAGGAAAGAAGGTTCCTTTGTGAAGATGCTCAACTGGGCACACCTGCTTCTTGGGCAGGCCTGCACCGTCACTGTGATTGTCTCAAAATCTCAGACTTCTGTTCTGGAACGTGCCAGTGGCCTCTGGTTCCCACAAGCGGCTGTCATTTGAGTGCTCAGTTTCAAAGCTCAGTTCCTCTGGTCTCAGTCATTCCAAGTACACCCCTCAACTTCACTTCCTCATGTTTCTCCCTGGGCACAAAGCCGCTCCCACAGAACAGCCTGCTGTGGCCATGGGGCAGTTCGCCCTACTTCCCTGCAGGAGACAGAGGAGTGACTGGTGATGCTGGGTGGGTGGCATTTCCCTTCTCTCTGTGGTGGGTAACTGGTACCCAACCTCAGGAATTACTTGGCATTTAAGTCTCTTCTGCCAAGGCAGGGGAGGTAGACTGGCCTGGGCCGCTCATATCAATATTAACACATTCAAGAATTTTCCAGTTTCGAATCTCCGGGGCCAGACACCTTGGTGCTGACACCCAGCCTGACTCCCTCTGGGCAAGTACATTTTTCCTGGAGCCCCGTCTTTCTGACTCTAGGGTGTGGGTGACAGTTCATACGCACTGGGCCCCTTGTGGAGCCAATCAGTGAAAGCCAGTCCTTGTCAGAGTCCAGCCCACCAGGCTCAGGGGAGCCGAGGTCTGTCCCTGGTCAGTGTCTCCCCAAGAGCGGCTGGCGGCCTGTTTGTGAGTAGACTTCGGCTGGAACACCCTCATGCCACACAGCCTGCCTCACCGGTGGGTCCTGCACAGCTAATTATAAGGTGCAGAGTAATTAGGAATTACTCTGAGTAATACTTATTAGCCTGGCTTTAAATATAATGTATCGATTTGTAAGTTTATAGCCCTCAGTAAAAAAAAATGGATGTATTAAAGAACTGACTCAAAATATCTAAGCATTTAAACACCGGGGTTCTTCTTGGGGGAGGGGGGGTGGAGATCAGTTGGGGTTTATCACTGTCATCCTCAAAAATGCCCCTGCAGGCACCTTCTCAGCACCTGCCCCAGACCTCTTGGCTTACTGTGGCCTGTTGGCGTCAGCAGAGGGGCTATTTCTGGTTCCTCCGGGCCCTTCCTGAACACCTTGAGTCGTGCCCGACACAAAGCAGGTGCTCCACGATTTGCTCAATGAAAGCGGGGCCTGTGGACACGTGCGCACAGAAGTCAGCCTGGCCATTCACTGTTGTTGTTCGGGCACAATCCCATCACTGTTCATTTCTTCCGAGAAAGTACAAGCCGTCCCAGCCCTGCTTCCCACATAATGTTTCCTCTCAGGAGAGGAGACGTCGTCGAGCACCCTGGGACCGCCTGATGGACGCCAGGCAAAGGCGGCCACGCGAAGTGCTTTTCCCAGCCTGGCACTCAGCATCCTCAAGTGGGAGCCAGTGGCCGCGATGGCAGTAGTGCAGGGCACAAAATCGAGAGACAGCGGCAGAGCTAATCAGTCGTCTCCGTCCACCTCTCTTTTACCCCCAATATCCTATTTTCAGGTTACGATCTCTTTAACTTATGTAAGATTTGGCCTTTTCCCAAGAAGTTCGTCTTTCTGCGTGCACTGGCGCCATCGTGTGGCCAAACTCGGTCATGGCAGCGCCCCGGATCTCAGTGCCCCGCTGGCTTCCAGCAGCCAGAGCGCAGGTTCCGGTAGCAGCAGGTGACATTTGAAAGCAAATACGGCCATGAGTGAGGGCTACACATCAGACTGCGAATTACATCCAGGAGGGCTTCCTCGCTTTCGTTTCGGGGTCGCGGGTAGTTGGGCAGCTCCGCTTGCGCGTGTCCTCACGCCGTCTGTCTGGCTTCCCTTTGTCTCTCCATCTGTCTCTCTCCTTTCACAAACGGTATTAAGACAGTCTGGCGCCATCTGCTGGGGGAATACTGTAAGGTCGGAGGTGAGGACAGGACCTTTCTAGGGGGCCCTCGCAAGAGTGAATCCCAAATCAGCTTCACAGGAAGCCAGTAAGGAGCTTAAAGGAGGCTGATGTGCCGTCCCTCGCCTGGTGTGCATGTCTCCCTCGCCAGTGCGTTCTGCTGTGAGGGGCGGGTGTGGGCAGACTCGGGCTTGCGCCCCGCTTCTACCGCCCAGACTTTCTCCAGCTTGGGTTGCAGGGTCTAGGCAGGAAGGTCAAGCAGACTTTCCCTGCACCCACCTATGGGGGAGGAGAATGTGGACTCAGAGCCCCCCAGAGCCCAAGTGCACAGGCAAACTCAGAGTGGGGCCCCGAATCTGTGTCCTGGACACCTGGCTCTTCCCCACCACGTGAATCTTTGGCACCCAAGGTAGGAGGCCCTGGTATCTTCCCTCCATGGTGGAAATACATTTTTAAAAAGCAAAGTGCAGAGGCCCTCCCTAGTGGCGCAGTGGGTTTAAAGCACAGCACTAAGAAGCTTAAACCACTTCCCCATGAGTTCGATTCCCGCCTGCCTGGGAGGTGACCACATGGCATGGCAGACCTCTCCTGACCCGCCTGCTGCTCCCCTCAGCAGTGGACTTCGACAGTCGGCCTGTTCTGCTCCCCACTCTGTCTCTGGTGGGTTCTCTCACCCTCCCCACCTCTGGCCTGTACCCCAGTTCTGTATGAATAAATAAATAAATCTTTAAAAAAAAAAGCAAAGTGCAGAACGAATTTGCATTTGGATTAAGGCTTGCATAAACTGCTGTCTGCTGTCATACAAAAGCCCCAGAACCCACCTTCCCTCCCCTTGTGCCCCTGGCTCTGTGCTTGGCACCCCCAGAAGCTCACACTGACTCCTGATGCAGGAGGTGTAGCTTTTCCCACTCTCCTCCTGCTTCTACTTCCAAACCCTACTCAATCCATTGAAACAAGCACAGAACTGCACTGGGGAGGTTCAAGAACGGGGGTCACCCCCTCTCTGAGCCTCAATTTCTCCATCCTTAATACTGTGAATTAAGTGAGGGGGGAGGGTCCCCCCACTATCCTCAGTGCTTGGTAGAAAATCCCAATCACTGTCGTTTGACTCTGCCTGATTCTCGTTACTTTGAAGTACGTTCAAATAAACTCTCCAGAATTGTAATGTGCCTCAGTTTATCTCAACACCAACCATGTGGAATTGTGGGGCCAGCTCAAGGGGCTCCGTCCTAGCCCTGCAGGATCTACTGGGGGGTGGGTGGCCACTCTGGAGTGCAGCCTGGGTCTTCTGAAAGTTGCAGGGTGGGCTGGCCCATAGGCGATCTTCCTTGGGCTCTGGACTGTAGGACCCCACCGCCTGACAGAGGACTCAGGCGCCCACACTGCGGGCATAGCTGCTGTAACTCTGGGTTGACCCATGGCTCCGTGGTTCCCCTTCAGGTGGTGCCACCCCGCCTCTCCCTCCTCACCCACCTGCACTTCCTGCCTCAGCTAGCATGGGGGTGTTGGAGATGCCCCTGTAGGATGCTTTACTGAGAGCAGAGAAAGACCTCGGCTTGGAAACAGCATCCTGCGCTCCTGGGGGAGACGGTCTTTCTTGGCCTCAGTTTCTCCACCTGGGCCTCAGCCCCCACCCTCAGGGGACCCCACTCCTGAGGCTCGTGGGCTCCAGTAATGCTGATATTTGCCTGTCAGCCCCAGTGGGGTACCACGAGATGGCAGAAGCCACGCTGTCCCCTGTCCTCAATCTTCTATGTCGCAGGTCACCCGACCGGACCTGCCGAGTTCAGTGGGAATCTGAATGAGTCCCACAAAGGTCATTTCCGTGGGCACTTCCAGGCTGAATGTTCTAGGGAGCCCACGGCACACAGTGTAGTTGGGAGATTGACCGCTCGTGGATGAGGCCCCCTCCCCTCGGGCCTCCACTTCGGCCTGGGAACTCAGCCACACCTGTGTGGCTTGGGGCCAGACACCCTGCGCTCCTGGGGGGACGGTCTTTCTCTGGGCCTCTGTTTCTGCACCGTAACACCAAGAGGCATCCTAGACCATAGCCCTGGACCTCACTGGCCTGTAGGGTCCCAGTAGGTAACGGGGTAAAGGCAGAGGATGGGAGTGGAGCTAACTCCTCTCCCACCTGCTCCCCAGGGCTCACCTGGGTGATTTCTGATTTTTCAGACAAAGTCAGAAATTTCCAAGAGATGCAAAATCTCCCAACTGGAAAACTGGCTAAGATCGAGGGTTCTGTCTGTTTCGAGGCCCACTGTGGCCTGCCGGCCGATGGTCTGTGTGCGTCCCCTGCGGACGCCAGTGGCGGAGGTGGGTGGGACCCCGAGACGGGTTGAATTCCGAGGCATGGCACTGGCCCCCGCGTGCCAGCTGTCGTTCTAGCCTCCGTTTGCAGTGTGATCGCCTGCCTTTTGGGGTGCCTGAGCAAGCATATGAATTTTTGATCAGATTGCCTTTTGAATGAGTTGACTGTCATGGATAATAAGGCAAAGGGCGCCAGCATTGTGTCTTTAACTATAACTGTCCCAATTAATTATGGGTTTAATTAGCATACATCGAGAGCAGCCCTGGAAAATAATACTTCATGGGTTACAGATGCCTTGGCAGCTGTTACATGAAGTGTGATACCGGGCTGGGGGAGAGATAGTTATTAATAAATGACTCCCATTGTCAGAGACCCTTATTTATACAAATTAGCAGGGGATACATAATCAACTTTAACTGTATAATTTA